ACATGTGTGTGTGTGTGTGTGTCTGTGTGTCTGTGTGTCTGTCTGTCTGTCTGTCTGTCTGTGTGTGTGTGTGTGTGTGTGTGTGTGTGTGTCTGTGTGTGATCTCCCTAATCTCGCGACGCCCAGTGTGAGGTGCCTGCGTGTCGAACGTCCACAGCCAACTTGTCACTTCATTCCGCACTGCTCGCGCGCCGGCAGGGCGCCACCGACCCGTCGCTCAGCGGCTCCGCGGCAGACGCCGACGGCGACCAGCCGCTCTCGCGAATCGGCCGGCTAGGGGCCTTGTTGGAGCGAGGGCCCCGGAAGCCAGAGCCTTGCAGACCATTGGGCGTCGCTTGCTGGGGCGGCGATGAATGGGGGGCAGCAGGGGCTGCAGAAAAAGAGCTCTGTCGGGCCCCTTCAGGGCCCAAGGGGGGGCCTTTAGGACCCGAAGAGTGCACCTGTCTCCCCCCCATTCAGCGCCCCCCCTTATTCAGCGACGCCCGAAGACCAGGACTCTCCCATATCCAGACTATCACTTTCCCAGCTCAGGATCGATGGTCCTCCGGACGCGTGTATTAGCCGAGGCATGTGTGTTACCCCGCTCGGCTCCGCCGATAGCCCGCCCGCGTATCCTGTTTCGGCCCTCGCTGGGCTGTCCCTGCGCCTTCTCGAAGGGCCTTGGTGGTGGACACCCGCACGTTGGCGCTAACACACGTTGAGATGATGATGCTGACGATGATGATGATGGTAGTGATGGTGATGATGCTTATGAACATGATGATGATGCTGATGCTGATGATGATGATGATGGTGGTGATGATGATGACGATGACGACGATGATGATGATGATGATGATGATGATGATGATGATGATGATGATGCTCATGATGATGATGATGATGATGATGATGATGATGATGATGATGATGATGATGATGATGATGATGATGATGATGCTGCTGCTGCTGATGATGATGATGATGATGAACATGATGCTCATGATGATGATGATGGTGCTGACGATGATGATGATGATGATGATGATGATGATGATGATGACGATGCTGATGATGATGATGATGATGATGATGATGATGATGATGATGATGATGATGATGATGATGATGATGATGATGATGATGATGATGATGATGATGATGATGATGATGATGATGCTGATGATGCTGCTGCTGCTGCTGCTGCCGTTGATGCTGATGCTGATGATGCTGATGCTGCTGCTGCTGATGATGATGGTGGTGGTGATGATGACACGTAACTGCTCGCAACGATCCTGTCTCGTCTCGTCCTGTTTTGTCCCTCGCCACCCCTCTTGGCGAGACGAGGGGTGACGGAGGGCGAGGAGCACGACGAGGAGCGCGACGAGGAGCACAAGGGCCTTTGTCCTCCTGGCCCCGCCCCCTCCCAGATCGGAAGCTGCGGCGGCGCCGCAGCGGGGGACGGCGGCCGGCCGGCGGCAGGCGTTGATGGCGACCGCCGCTCGCCATCGGCGAGGGATCGTCGCTCGAGCGGAGCTCCGCGGAGGATCCGCCCCCTCGGGGAGTATCGTAGAGCCCGCGCCAGCCGGAGAGGGGGGACACGCGGCTCCCCAGGGGGATGCCGCCAACGCAGCTGCCGCCACTTTCGTATCGCCCTCCTCCTCCTCCTTCTTTTTTTCTCGTTAAACAAGCCTTAGGAAGTACCTGTGGTGTTCTTTTTCCTCCTCCTCCTCCTCCTCCTCCTTCTTCCTCCTCCGCGCCAGGGACGCTCGGTCGCTTCTCCTCCTCCCCCCCCCCACCCAGCCCTTCCGGGGAGGGGGTCGAGACCCCCAGCCTGCGGATTGAGTCCGCCAGTTCGAGGGCCCGCGTCTGGCTGAGCCGCTGTCGCTGCCTCCGCGGGTGGGGGTGGAGGCCAGCGCGCAGCCGCTGGCGTGCCTCCGCCAGTCCAGCGGCCTCGGGGCCATGGCACGGGCTCAATAGGCTGCCACGGCCTTTCCGCGGCACCTGTGCGCTGGCAACGCACGTCATGCAGAAGAGCACCGCGTCCTCGTCGCCACACGGTCCTGCCAGTATGCTGTGGCCCTTCAGCTTCCATGGCATGGCGGACCCATGATGGCCCTCCTATCTGCCGGCGGCTTCTCTTTCAGCCTCTTCCGCTGCGTTGCTGGCCTCCTGCGAGGGCGGACTCGCGCCCTGCGCCGTGGGCGCTGGCGGCGGCTGGCTGTTGGCCGATGGGCCTCCCTCGGCTCCGTGCTGGTCGCCTTCGGGTTTCGCCTCGTCGTCCCGTGCGTCGGCGCCCAAGCCCACTGAGTCTGCGACCGCCGGTCCCTGCAGGTGCACGTGGAGGTCCCCCAGCCACCGCGCCAGCTGCCTCGCACGGCGCCTCGCACGGCGCCGGCACGCTGCGAAGTAAAGGCGAGGCTCCTCGGGGACCTCTCGCAGTCGGTCTCCGCAGCGCGCCATGCGGTCCGCCGCACGTTGGCCTCGCGCTCGGCGACGGCACGGTCGCGCGCGCATCTTAGCGTTCCCTTGCAGTCGCATGGGACCTTGAGAGGGCCCCGTCCGAGATGGGCCAACCTCTTGAACGTTATTCCTCGCAATCTCGTGCCTCCTGCAGCGGAGCTTGCACCAACGGCACCACGCCGCTTGTGATCTCTCAATCGTCTTTGAAAGCCACGATTGACCATCCAGCTCGTCTCAGGGCTTCGTCCTCTACGTCGAAGGCGCTGCCGTCGAAGAAGACGTCGCCTGAAAAGAAGGCTCCCTCCGGCCTCGTGTTATGGACAGCAGGGGATTTCAGACCTCGAGTAGCATTGCGGCGAACAGCTCACTCGCCGCCTTTCCGCGCTCGCGCACCACGCGCGCGGCGGCCAGCAGGTCTGGCGGACAGTGGTCCCTCCAGCGCACCGCGTGGCCGTCGCAGGCGAAGCTGCGGTGCCAGAGCGTGCCCCGCTCCGCGCCACATGAGGTCTACAGGTCGCTGGCCGCCATGCCCGCGTCGCAGAGCTGGGCCTGCGGCCAGTGGAAGAGGGGGTGACGAGGATGAGGAGCAAGAGTGGGGCGATGAGAAGGGGCAGCAGCACGATGGGGATGTCCACCCCTGGGCTGCTGGAGCCATCCGAAGGCCGCTCGGATCTGGCAGCCTGTTATGGGGTCGTACGAAAGTGGGGATTGGGAATCGGGGGCGAAGCTTGCTGAATGCTGCTGGTTGTGGCCCTGCCGTTGGGCGCTTTCCGCGACACACGGGCGCCTCCGCCGCCGGGAATCTCCAGGAAAATTATCCCGGCAAAGCAAACAACAGCAATGTGTAGGAGCATATCTGGAAGCATTCCCTTTAAGATTCAGATGGGAATCCAGTTGTAGACTTCTGCTGTTCTCGCAGTCGTAGTCGCATTCGCGATGACAGTCGCAGTGGCAACGGCAGTCGCAGTCACAGCCTCTGCCTCAGCCTGCCTCAGCCTCAGCCTCAGCCTGCCTCAGCATCAGCCTGCCTCAGCCTCAGCCTCAGCCTGCTTCAGCCTCAGCATTAGTCTGCCTTCAGCCTCGGCCTCAGCCTCGGCCTCAGCCTCAGCCTCACCCTGCATCAGCCTCAGCCTCAGCCTCAGCCTGCCTCAGCCTCAGCCTGCATGAGCCTCAGCCTCAGCCTCAGCCTGCCTCAGCCTCAGCCTGCCTCAGCCTCAGACTCAGCCTGCCTCAGCCTCAGCCTCAGCCTCAGCCTGCTTCGGCCTCGGCCTCAGTCTGCCTTCAGCCTCGGCCTCAGCCTCAGGCTGCCTCAGCCTCAGCCTGCATCAGCCTCAGCCTCAGCCTCAGCCTGCCTCAGCCTCAGCCTGCCTCAGCCTCAGCCTCCGCCTGCCTCAGCCTCGGCCTCAGCCTGCTTCAGCCTCAGCCTCAATCTGCCTTCAGCCTCAGCCTCAGCCTGCCTCAGCCTCAGCCTCAGCATCAGCCTCAGCCTCAGCCTCAGCCTGCCTCAGCCTCAGCCTCAGCCTCAGCCTCAGCCTCAGCAGCCAGCCTCAGCCTCAGCCTGCCTCAGCCTCAGCCTCAGCCTCAGCCTCTCAGCCTCAGCCTGCAGCCTCAGCCTCAGTCTGCCTTCAGCCTCGGCCTCAGCCTCAGCCTGCCTCAGCCTCAGCCTGCATCAGCCTCAGCCTCAGCCTCAGCCTGCCTCAGCATCAGCCTGCCTCAGCCTCAGCCTCAGCCTGCCTCAGCCTCAGCCTCAGCCTGCTTCAGCCTCAGCCTCAGTCTGCCTTCAGCCTCGGCCTCAGCCTCAGCCTGCCTCAGCCTCAGCCTGCATCAGCCTCAGCCTCAGCCTCAGCCTGCCTCAGCCTCAGCCTGCCTCAGCCAGCCTCAGCCTGCCTTGCCTCAGCCTCAGCCTGCTTCAGCCTCAGCCTCAGTCTGCCTTCAGCCTCGGCCTCAGCCTCAGCCTGCCTCAGCCTCAGCCTCAGCATCAGCCTGCCTCAGCATTCAAAATGTGGCCCGGGAATGGAGTTCTGGGAACTCGAAGAACACGAAGTGGCCTACAGTTGGCTCCGGGCATTCAAAATCATGCCCAGGAATGGAGTTCTGGGAACTCGAAGACCACGAAGTGGCCTACAGTTGGCTCCGGGCATTCAAAATCATGCCCAGGAATGGAGTTCTGGGAACTCGAAGACCACGAAGTGGCCTACAGTTGGCTCCGGGCATTCAAAATCATGCCCAGGAGTGGAGTTCTGGGAACTCGAAGAACACGAAGTGGCCTACAGTTGGCTCCGGGCATTCAAAATCATGCCCAGGAATGGAGTTCTGGGAACTCGAAGACCACGAAGTACGTTACTTTTTGCTTAAAAAGGAGTCCCCGGATTCCCGCGGCACCCGTCCGGCATCTGCCCAGACCCCCCTGGGGAGTCATGATGCTCTCTTTTGAGCCCACTAGAAACCTATCAGTCTTCGCTGTTAGGTAATCATCTACACAAGCTGATTCTTTAACCGCCCCTTGTGATTTAACCTCCGTTCGTCTGGCTCGATCTCCCGTCGGTCCCCCCGCGGAGGCGACGGAGGCAACGGCAACGTGGCCATGGCCGCCATCGCGGCCCTCCTCGCCATGCTGGCGCGACCGTCCCTGCCTGGGGGGTACGACGGCCTCTGCCCAAGCTGCTGCTCTTGCCCCCTTCTGCCCCTGCTTCCGAGAGCAGGAGGAGGATGAGAAGGATGATGAGGAGGATGCGGAGGAGGAGGAGGAGGAGGAGGAGGAGTCTCGTCTCGTCTCGAACCCATTCAAGCAACGATCCATGCCTGGTCATATGTGCTCTGGGTTGGGGCGGTGGCCATTGCCTCGCCCCTCTCTCGCTCCACATCGTTCTGGAGCCTGCCGTGCCGATGAAACGGAGGCACGGGCGGATGCGCCCCTGTTGGCGCCCGCACGGGGGGCGCACGTGTGAGGCGCCCATCAAGTGGGAGTGATCTGGAGGACTGTTGCTCGCAGCACCAAGCAGCGCTAATATATATCCTAAGGTGAGTGCATTTCGCGGGCGACGTCCTCTTCGGCTTCGAAGGGGTCGGCCTCGTGAGGGTTAAAACTGAGGCCGGACACCCGCCTCAGTTTTAACCCTGAATCGGCGCCAGGGTCGGGAGCGTTCTGACTCGCCGAGTGCGAGGCGGGTCCAAACAGGCGGCGAGGAGGAGGGGGAGGAGGTCCAGGGTCCCTGGCAGGAGCGGAGACGCTCTCAAGGCCTGGCGGCGGGCGTACACTATGATACGTGACTGCTGCAGCGCGTGTCCTACCTACTTCTGGCGGCCCTTGCCCTTGCCGCCGCCGAGCTTCCTGGCCATGTTGCCGCGCGGCGCCTTGTTGACTAGGTGGCGGCCGCCCGCCGCGCGCATCTGCTCGGCGAGCAGCAGGTTGATGTCCATCAGGTAGCCTGGCATGTTGAGGATCGTCGTGGGCATCTCCGTGGGGCTCACCTGCTTGATCGTGTCGTCTCCGCCCTCGATGGCCGCCATGAGCTTCTCGTGGTCTGCCACCTGCGTGGTCATGAGGATCTGGCCTTTGAGGTTGAAAGTAAGGCGTGACTTCTGCGTCTTGCCAGGCTGGTCGAATGTGGGGCTCGCGACCATCTCGGTGATCCACGTCTGTGCAATGGTCGGGCCGCCGTGCTCGATCATCTTCATCAGGCGGGCGATGCACATCCCGCATGCGGCCCGCCGCTGTGAGGTGTCCTTGTAGTTGTAGCTGTGCAAAGCGTCTAGAACTGCGAAAGCACTCTGGCACGCTGGCGTGCCACGATCCTCCTCCGGGTGGTTCTTCTTGTCTGTGAGGAACCGCTGGAACGCCGCGTTGCTCTCCACGATGCACGGGTGGTTGCGATCCAGCAGCACGCTGACGAACCCCATGTGCTCGACCGCGCGCATCCTGGCCTCGAGCTGGTACACCAGGCTGCGAAGTGGGCCTGGCTCGTGCTCGTCCTCGTCCTCGTCCCCCGCGTCCATCTGGCGGCGCTGCTTGTGCTTGTCCGCTCTGTCCTGAGCTGCGCTGACTCTGTCCTTCCTGAGGAGCCACGACGCGGGCTGGTGGGCGACTTGCACCGCAGACGATGCGGCGCCTCCCGTCGACATCGCCCCTGCTGAGTCTCGTACCCCTCCACTCAGGGTTGCTGTGTGCGGTGCCGAGCGCCTCGCGAATCTGAAACGAGGGGAGGAGATGCTGCCGAATGTGCGCCTCAGCGTGCTCGAGAAAGACGGCGATGGAGGGCTGCTCCACGAAGCAAACTGGGCACTCGAGGCTTTTGGGCTCTATGATGGTGGCCTCGTACCGTCCTCGATTCATAGGGCAATAGTTGCGCCTCATACTCGCAGCAACGTGATGGACGGCACTGGCACGATCTCTGAACACGCTCTTGCAGATCGGGCAGGCGTTCGTGATCGTGAGAACCCTTCCTATGTGGAGTTTCCCATGAGAGCCCCCTTTTGAGTTGGCCATGTGCGCCAGCAGCTGTTTTCGGCTAGGCCAACACGTCCGACATACCGTGCCATCGTCCCACACCTCCTGGCATACGTACTCCCCCTCCGTCCTGTTCACCTCCTTCCTGATCCTCTCCTCCTCATCTGTGATGTAGAAGATCGATCTAAGCTGGGTGACATCAATCTTGACGAAGTCCGTGGGGTCCTCGAATAGTATACTAAAGATGGTCTGGTTATCTAGCATCGTCTGCCCTTCCTCGAGTTCCCGTAGTGATAGTATGTCTTGCTGGGCCTGCTGGGCCCAAGGGTTAGCTTTGTCGGAGACCATGCCATCGCTAAAGACCTCCCCGTCACATACCATACTTCCAAACACCGCGCTAAGAAACTGCACGTGCTCATCTTTGTTGGCAACCAATACTTGCATCCATTTAAGTCTTCTTATTCGTAATTCAAGGTAAAGACTGCCCATTCGAAATTTCTTAAGGATCTGCGTGTTAGTATCTACGATAACGTGCGTGTCGCTCTCGTTCATGCGCGCTGTGCCTTGTAGTATGGCCCTACACTTAACCAAAATGTATGATTGGTGATGCTGGAGGTCCCGCTCTTGCAGAGGCCCCCGTCCATGTACACACACCTCGAGGCCAGACAGGGCAGCGTTTACCAACAAGCCTTTCACTACGTTTCTCTTTACGCCGAAGGGCGCGTCACTGTACCAGAATCCCCCCATACTGTGGAAGCTGGACTTGATGGCAGATAACCGCTTCTGCAACTCTGGCAACGGTGAAAATGTGGACGCTTGAAGCCCACCTAAGTAGCGCACGTGATGTACAACTCTCCCATCAAGTGCCGTTTCTTGCCTTGCTAGTGCCCTCGTAGCCGTGTAAGATCCCCACCCTGCAAAATAGCACACATTCTCCTCCTTCTCTAGATTCTGACTCGCTCCGATCTCCGCGAGCCCACGGTCGACAGCTTCGTTCTCGAGGGCCCCCCCGCGCTCAATCTGCTCCTGCATCGTCCCCTCTCCCGCCTCCAACACCTTGCTACCTATGTCGTCGACGAACCCTGTGAGTCCTATCTGAGTCTTCTCGCTGTGATTCCAAGGAAGACCCGCTTCTAAGACGATGTGCCACTGGTGAGCGATGGCAGCGTCGGCGTACTTCGCAAAGGGGGGGAGGTACGTCCTGTTGAACAATCGGGTGGCACCGGTGTCCCCTGGGAAGACGCCCCGTCGAGCTTTCATCCAGAAACTTCCCGTCTCATCAGAGATGTGCACCAAGTTTTTTCGCACCCGATCTTCTATGAACTGGAGGTCCTGGGGGTCATAACAACTCTCCGCGGCCTCTAGAACCTTGTCCTGATGGAGGCTGTAGAAAGCGTTGACAGCGTCGTGACACCTGAGAAGATGAGACACTCCTCCAGCTTGCAGGCGATACGACGACACGAGCTGAACCCCCATGGCCGCCTCCCTCCTCCTCCCATGTATCCCTCCATACAGCCATTCGGGTGCAATCCATGGGGGCTTCTTACGTTTGAGCATGGCCGCGTTGTAGGTCCGACCCAGGGTGCACATCATCATGATCAGCCTCTCCCCGTCACACTCCAGTTTCCGATTGGGTTTGGGGATACGGGCAGCCTGGGCACAGTGCCAGTGGACGGGATACCGCTGAACTCGCCTGCACGTGCCCAGTATTGCCTGCAGCATACCACGCGTGCGGACTATCCTGGGCAGCTCCTGATGAAATCCAACACCCACTGCAGCCTGCGGTCGTCTCTCATTCACTTTGCGGGGGTGGAACACTATTCGCAAGCACTCGGGAGGTGTGCTCCACGACGGCCAAGCCCTCCAAAACTTTAGTTTCCAGACTGCAACCGCCATCTCCCTCCAATCCTCCGCAGCACGATACACGGCCTCGCTGTCCTCCACCCTCTCCCGCACCTCCTCCTGCATGTCCCTCCTCGTCTCCTCTATGGTGTAAGGGATCGCACTGCAGCCTCCATGTTCGGGCTCAAGCTTCAACCTCTGCGCCCACGCCTTTGCTGACGCTGTGGATCCAGGGACGACGGCGAACTTCCTTTGTCGGGGCCCCCTTCTCTTTCCAGCGATAAGCCGAGCTAATTTCTGGACCATGTACCCGTTCTGCTCTTTGAGGGCTTGCTTCATCTCGGCACATCTTCGAGCACGGATAGCATCCCAGTATTCTTTGGCAGTGTGCCGTAAGTGCTTGCTGATGTGCCTGATGCGCTCGCTCGTGCTCTCGGTGTTGTGCTCATCGTGCTCCTCCTTGTACCTCCTCCTCTGTGCCAGTAGTGTTCGAAGCTCTCTGGTGTGTTCCTTACGATCTTCTGTGTACAGCGGGCTGTCGCGCAGGACGTCGGAGACAGCGGTGTTCAGGGTGGTAATAAACAACGTGTTCATCTCATCAATGTCCTCCCTGGCCTTGGCTGCATCAAACTCATCGGCATTTACTTCCGCCAGCTCTTCCATCCGAGAGAGGACCTCCCGTCTCTTGTACCCTACCTGCAGGCATTGATAAAGAGCTTCACGGTTCGCACGAGGAGCACGCTGCTGTTCTCTACCAGGGAGGGCGGGCCACTGCAGGACGAAGCTCGCGCATACAGGTCTGTGGTCCCTATCCTCGTGCCCGCGATGCAGCTGGAGTCGACGAGCAGACCTCCTCATTACCATCACCCGCTCCGTGGCCTGAAGGAGGTCTCGTGTTGTGAGGATGTGGTCAATGTGCGACTGCCCGTTGCTGCCTACGAACGTGGGGGGGAGGTCCCAGTGAGTGCCGATGCTGCACATGCCCCATCCCTCAAGGAGAGGTCGGAGTGCAGCGCTGCTTGGGGTTAAGTGTCCTTTGCCGTGCACGCCCGAGACGTGGTCGTCACCCGTGTACGGCAGTGCCCCATTCAGATCGGTCATGATGATGGGTACTGCCTTCCTTGTCATGAGGAACGACATTACATTGCTCAACCATTCGTTCATCACCTGGATCGTCTTAAGGTAGGCTGGCTTGGCTTGGTTGGTGGTCTGTTTGGGCGGGTAGTACATAACCACAAACCCATACCTTACTCCTCCCCGGTCGCACAACACCCCGTGGACGCGCCCCCATATCTGTTTGGGCGCTGTGAACACGTGCTTCACGCAGT